GAACTAATGGACTGCAGACATAGTACAGGAGATGACCAGAGACTGCGGACAGCACAGGGATGACCAGAGACTGCGGACAGCACAGGGATGACCAGAGACTGCGGACATAGTACAGGAGATGACCAGAGACTGCGGACAGCACAGGGGTGACCAGAGACTGCGGACATAGTACAGGACATGACCTGAGACTGCGGACATAGTACAGGGGTGACCAGAGACTGCGGACATAGTACAGGAGATGACCTGAGACTGCGGACATAGTACAGGGATGACCAGAGACTGCGGACAGCACAGGGATGACCAGAGACTGCGGACATAGTACAGGAGATGACCAGAGACTGCAGGACAGCACAGGGATGACCAGAGACTGCGGACAGCACAGGGATGACCAGAGACTGCGGACAGCACAGATGACTGCTGACCTTTGGGGAGGTGGGGAGCGGGTACCTGAATTTGACAGGTACCCGCTCTTACTTCCTGCAGAGTTTTTGTTTGATCTTACCTGTTCCTCGATCCAGCCGCGCGCTGTCTTCCCGGCTTCTGTAATGGCGCTCGGCATGACAGCCGGGTGCCCAGTGCGCATGAGCGAGAAGCACTTGCGCTTTGTGATTGGTCCGGCGGCTTCTGGGATCTGTCATGTGTCCCAGGTACCGCCTTACCATTCACAAAAAGCACTGCTTCTTGCACATGCGCACTTGGCACCCGGCTGTCATGCCCAGTGCCCACACTACAGAAGCCGGAAGACAGCACGCCGCTGGATAGAGGAACAGGTAAGATCAAAGAACAAATTCAGGTACCCGCTCCCCACCTCCCCAAAGGTCAGCAGTCATCTCCATAAGGTCCCGCTGCAGAGCTGAGCGGCCGGCCCGGTATTCTGACACGGCCGCGGTGGAAATACCGGACCGGCCGCTCCATATTCGCTCCATAAGACGCACTGACATTTTCCCCCCTTTTTTGGGGGGAAAAAAGTGCGTCTTATGGAGCGAAAAAATACGGTAATCACCACTGTTTTTTATATTTTTTGCTAGATAAATGAAAAAAAGACCCCAAAAAAGTGTTTTTCTTCATTTCTGTTATAACATTTTGCAAATAAATATTTTTTCTACATAAATTTAGGCCAAACTGTATTCTGCTAAAATCTCTTTGATGAAAATAACCTAAATAAGTGTATATTATTTAGTCTGTAGGAGAGTTTTATAGAGCCCACAAACTATGGTATCAATCAATGCTGATGTACTGTACTGACACCCCATGTCATTTCTTAAGGCCCGAGAATGCCAGGATGGTACAAATATCACCCAAATGACCCCTTTTTGGAAAGTAGACAGTCGAAGGTATTTAGTAAGAGGCATTTAGAGTTTTTAAAAAAATTTGTCACAGTATTTGGAAAAGAAATTTAAAAAAAGTTTTCTTTCAAATTTTTTTTTCACATACTGTCACCAATGCAGTACAGCATCATCATAAAACTGGTCTGGTGGTGATCAGGGACACTGCCAGGCATTTGTGGTGCAGGTTGCAACGTGGTTGAAACACGGTTGCGAGGCGGTTGCAGAGCGTTAATATCATTTAACTTCATTATAGGAGATTGTGGTGTGGTTTTAACGCTTGGAAAATACCTATCAACCACCTCAAAACCGCGCATGGGGCATTTTGGGAGCATTTGGGGAGCATTAAAAATGCTTCACAAACACCTGTCAAACGCTATAGGGGTATTTGGTAAGAGTTAGGCTACGTTCACACTAGCCTTGTGTGCAGGCGGCAGAGAGGCGTTTGGGAAGCGTTTTTACTGCTTCCCAAACGCCTCTGCCAATTCTGCACATTACAGCACATGGTGCTGTTCTAACAGGAGCGTTTGCGTCGCATCGCGTTGCGTTGCAGCAAAACAGACGCCTCTGGTCGAGTCAGGAGGCTTTGAAGCCTCCTATTCTCGTCTATGGTGCCGCTCCGCAAACGCCCGGCCGGCGTTTGCGGTGCGGTTGCGACGGTTGCGGGGCGTTTGCGGAGCGGTAACACCACCACTCAAACTGTATTATAGGCGTTTGTGGGGCGTTATTAACGCTCGTAAAACGCCTAGCAACCACCACTAAACCGCGCATGCGGCGTTTGCGGAGCGTTTGCCGAGCGTTAAAAAACGCTCCACAAATGCCGGACCAACGCTTGCCAAACGCTATAGGGGCATTTGGCAAGCATTGGTAAAACAGCCAAGTGTGAACGAGCCCTTAAAATAAAGTCAAGTGAACGAGCCCTAACGCCCATACTAAAGCTCATTAACACCTGTCCAATGCCCATACTAAAGCTCATTAACGCGAATCTAATGCCCATACTAAAGCTCATTAACGCCTGTCTAATGCCCACACTAAAGCTCATTAACGCCTGTCTAACGCCCACACTAAAGCTCACTAACGCCTGTCTAACGCCCACACTAAAGCTCACTAACGCCTGTCTAACGCCCATACTAAAGCTCATTAACGCCTGTCTAACGCCCATACTAAAGCTCATTAACGCCTGTCTACCGCCCATACTAAAGCTCATTAAACACCTAACGCCCATACCAAAGCTCATTAACGCCTGACTACTGCCCATACTAAAGCTCATTAACACAACGCCCATACTAAAGCTCATTAACACCTGTCTAACGCCCATCCTAAAGCTCATTAACGCGTGTATAATGCCCATACTAAAGCTCATTAACACCTGTCTAACGCCCATACTAAAGCTCGTTAACACCTAAGCCCATACTAAAGCTCGTTAACCCTAACGCCCATACTAAAGCTCGTTAACACCTAACGCCCATACTAAAGCTCGTTAACACCTAACGCCCATACTAAAGCTTATTAACGCCTAACTCCCATACTAAAGCTCATTAACGCCTGTCTAACGCCCATACTAAAGCTCATTAACGCCTAACGCCCATACTAAAGCTTATTAACGCCTGTCTAACGCCCATACTAAAGCTCATTAACACCTAACGCCCATACTAAAGCTCATTAACGCCTGTCTAACGCCCATACTAAAGCTCATTAACGCCTGTCTAACGCCCATACTAAAAGCTCATTAATGCCTGTCTAATCCCATCCTTCTTTCAGCTATCTCCTCACCCACCTCTCCAGTTCACTTTGGCTAAGGTCACTATTGTAGTTAGCCAATGGGCAGGCCAGAGTATGAAGTGAATTGCAGCTAAATTCTAGCTACAAAGTTTCCATCTCTTCCAGTTAGGGAATGAGGGCCCCTTTTGGTTGACAGAAGCGTTTGAGCCCTCACATCATTTAACTTTATTATCGCAAAAGCCGCTGTGCTGCCACAATTGTTCATGTACTGCTACGATTTCCGGTGTATTGTCACGATAGCCCCTCTATATTTTCACCTTAGCCGCTGGATGGCCACAACTGTCCATGTACTGCTAGTGTTGTTCGTGAGTTGTCACAATAGCCACTGTATTGCCTCAATTGTCTATTCCATGTACTGCTAGTGTGTCAGGGCTCCAGGTATGACCAGAGGTGTGTGGACTGACACAGGGAAACGCAGGCTTCAGATATGGTATAAACAATATAATTTATTAAGACTAACAATACAAAACGCAGTGCAAAACTAAACATAAACACAGTGCAAACAAACCAAACCACCCACCGATAACAATACATACAATACAAAGAGTAGTCAGGCAAGCCGGGTCAGTAGCAAACGGGCAAACGGAGTACCAGGAACAGGCGGGAGAGTGGTCGGGGTCACAAGCTGGGTTCAGTAACTCACGGGCAGCGCGGTACAGAGGGTCGGGCAGAGAATGGTCAGGGTCACAAGCCAGGGATCAAGCAGGAGAAGTCAGCAGCAGGTCAGGATAAGGCAGGGTCGGCAACAAGTAAGACAGGAACAGGAATACAGGATACAAGGTACAGGGGCCCATGGAAAAACACACACCAAGGCCCTGACTGTGAGTCTGGCCATTCCTTAAATACAACCCCTGCAATCAGCTTCAGGTGTTTGGCCGATTGCAGGGGTGAGTCTCTGATTGCTGAGAGCACCCCGCTGGCCAGCCCTGGTACTGCAGCCCACAAGGCAGGTGAGTCCCACCATTATTGGCAAGTCCATTCCTGACAGTAGCCCCCCCCTCAAGGAGCGGCCTCAGGATGCTCCAAACAGTCCTAGCTGGGCAAAATGTTCCACCGCCCGGGTCCAGTAACTGGTGGGATATCAAAGACTGGCACATCGGGCTGGGCACCGGACAGAGGCACATCGGGCTGGGCACCGGACAGAGGCACATCGGGCTGGGCACCGGACAGAGGCACATCGGGCTGGGCACCGGACAGAGGCACATCGGGCCGAACACCTGATCACCAGCGGAGCGGCGGGCACTGGGCCACCAGGCGGAGCGGCAGGCACCAGGCCACCAGGCGGAGCGGCAGGCACCGGGCCACCAGGCGGGGCGGCAGGCACCGGGCCACCAGGCGGAGCGGCAGGCACCGGGCCACCAGGCGGGGAGGCAGGCACCGTGCCACAAGGCGGGGCGGCAGGCACCGGACCACCAGGCAGGGCGGCAGGGACCGGGCCCCCCGGCAGGGCAGGGCGGCAGGCACCGGGCCCCCAGGCGGAGCGGCAAGCACCGGGCCCCCAGGCGGAGCGGCAGGCACCGGGTCATCTGGCAAGACAGCGGGCACCGAGTCATCTGGCAAGACTGCGGGCACCAAGTCATCTGGCAAGACCGCGGGCACAGAGTCATCTGGCAAGACCGCGGGCACAGAGTCAACTGGCACGACAGCGGGCTCCGAGTCAACTGGCACGACAGCGGGCACTGGGTCATCAGGCATCACCTGGCTCGACAGCGGGCATCGGGTCATCTGGCTCGACAGCGGGCATCGGGTCATCTGGCATCAGGTCATCTGGCTCGACAGCGGGTACCGGGTCATCAGGCATTAGATCGTCTGGCTCGACAGTGGGCATCGGGTCATCAGGCACGACAGTGGGCATCGGGTCACCAGGCATGACAGTGGGCACTGTGTCATCAGGCATTGGATCGTCTGGCTCGACAGCGGGCATCGGGTCACCAGGCATCAGGTCATTTGGCTCGACAGCAGGCACCGAGTCATCTGGCAAGACAGTGGCACCGAGTCATCAGGCACGACAGCGGGCATTGGTTCACCAGGCATCAGGTCATCTGGCTCGACAGCGGGCACCGAGTCATCTGGCAAGACAGCGGGCATCGGGTCATCAAGCAAGACAGCGGGCTCCGAGTCATCTGGCAAGACAGCGGGCATCAGGTCATCAAGCAAGACAGCGGGCACCGAGTCATCTGGCAAGACAGCGGGCATCGGGTCATCAGGCATCAGATCATCTGGCTCGACAGAGGGTACCGGGTCATCGGTTCGACAGCGGGCATCGCGTCACCAGGTATTGGATCATCTGGCTCGACAGCGGGCATTGGGTCACCAGGCATTGGATTGTCTGGCTCGAAAGCAGGTACCGGGTCATCGGGCATTGGATCGTCTGGCTCGACAGCAGGCATCGGATCACCAGGCATCAGGTCATCTGGCTCGACAGCTGGCATCGGGTCATCAGGCACGACAGCGGGCATCGGGTCACCAGGCATCAGGTCATCTGGCTCGACAGCGGGCACCGAGTCACCTGGCATGATAGGATCATTAGGATGGATCAGTTCATCAGGCTGGGTACAGACATCAGGCTGGGTAGAGACATCAGGCTGAATTGCTGGTGCCGAGGCACCAGGTTGAACCACGGAAGGCGGGTTCTCAGACAGCAGGCTGACCGGTTTGGATACTGGCAGGATGGTACTGGTTGGAAAGAATTTTCGCTTTTTTCTGGTTTTAGTTACTGGAGCACTGTAAGTAAACGCAGGTCTGTAAACAAATGGAGCAGCTAAAGACAGAGAAGAGCTGGAGGAGGGAGCAGTTGCTACAGAGGACTTCTTTACAGGGTTAAAGAAAGGATAGGTGCAGCGAGTGGGAGCAGGGGACTGGTATGTGGTAGTTAGCAAAGTATACTGGGCCGTCACTGGGGGTGCTGTCGGGGATGCAGGAAGAGTGCCTTGAGCAGAGGAATGATGTTGCAAGCTGACTGAGGCTGGGTGCAACAAATCTGTCCATGTCTGCAGTACTGGTTGAACAAAACTCAGCTTACACATAGCCTGTCTGACCAAAGACTGCACTGCGTTTATGCAATCCATAAGCACATTTGATGGACAAGCTGCATAATGCTCATGGAAGCAATCTGGATCATCCTCCAACAACCATACCAGTGATTCCACTTGATCCACACTAAATGGGGGGAAAAAGTCATTCCTGCTTTCAGGGGTACAGGACCGAGCCAACTCAGCACAAACCTGGATCAATGGCTGCTCCTCAGAAAACTCTGTGCCCTGATCTACTAGGCAATGACCGATCCTTATACACCCTAGTAGTTGATCCCTGGGATACTCCTTCAGAGTCTGATAAGCATAGTCTTTGTCATCAAACACTAGCAGAGATAAATACACCACCTTATCAAGATCCATCCTACCCAGCAACAATAAGCCAAGATGGCTTCCCTGTGCAGCCACTTCTGGTCAGGATTGGCCTTGGTGTAATGTCAGGGCTCCAGGTATGACCAGAGGTGTGTGGACTGACACAGGGAAACGCAGGCTTCAGATATGGTATAAACAATATAATTTATTAAGACTAACAATACAAAACGCAGTGCAAAACTGAACATAAACACAGTGCAAACAAACCAAACCACCCACCAATAACAATACATACAATACAAAGAGTAGTCAGGCAAGCTGGGTCAGTAGCAAACGGGCAAACGGAGTACCAGGAACAGGCGGGAGAGTGGTCGGGGTCACAAGCTGGGTTCAGTAACTCACGGGCAGTGCGGTACAGAGGGTCGGGCAGAGAATGGTCAGGGTCACAAGCCAGGGATCAAGCAGGAGAAGTCAGCAGAGGTCAGGATCAGGCAGGGTCGGCAACAAGTCAGACAGGAACAGGAATACAGGATACAAGGTACAGGGGCCCATGGAAAAACACACACCAAGGCCCTGACTGTGAGTCTGGCCATTCCTTAAATACAACCCCTGCAATCAGCTTCAGGTGTTTGGCCGATTGCAGGGGTGAGTCTCTGATTGCTGAGAGCACCCGCTGGCCAGCCCTGGTACTGCAGCCCACAAGGCAGGTGAGTCCCACCATTATTGGCAAGTCCATTCCTGACATAGTGTCACCTGTGCATTGTCACAGTAGCCCCTTTATTGCCACAAATGTCCATGCACTGCAAGTGTTGCTGGTGTGTTGTCACTGTATAGTCCCTGTATTTCTACAATATACCTGTATTTCTTCTCCATATGAGTGAACAAATCAACACGTATGACAATATGTACACTTACATATAACGAATAGACATATTAGGATTACCACTCATACACCACATTGCCCTGAAGGAGGTCCTTCTCTGGCGGATGGAAACTCTTCCCTCTGATTTGGCAAGGTCAGTGTGCAGGTGTTGCCCAGAAGTGATTTGAAGCGCCTATGCACTCTGTTCCGTGGAAAACAAAGAGCTGGAGGTGGTGGGAGAGGCATCGCCTGACCATAGGGGAGACTACAGAAGCAGTGCTTGGTCATTCTGTGGTTCTCTAGCTCTGTTCTGATATGGCTGAGTGTAGTAATGAATGATGAAAGAATGTAAACGGCTTAGGAAAATGCCTAAATGTGATTTATAAATGCAGGAAATCTTTCAAGGGTGGAAATTTGTAAAACTGTTTAAATTTTCTGCTTAGCCCCTAAATTTAATTTAACATATATGCCTCAAAGTCTGAAGCTGACTGGGCTGCTAAGATGCAGTTAGCGAAAGTCCTTCACCGGATATAAAGAATATTTTATTGTCAGTACCCGAACCTCTTTAAGATCATTGATGGACATACCTACCACAGACAACCAGGAGGATCTCATACAGCTTCTTATTCTTTTACCAAAACTTTTATAAAAACTTTTCATGGTAATGTCCTTTACATCACTCATAGTTGTTATGCTCTGTAAAACCGGCACATATCACAAGACAGATTTGAACAAAATCCCAAGGTCCTTTTTACCCACTGCCTGTCCTGGGTACTCACATTCTAACTCCAATGCCGGGGTGTTCTTTAACCCATGAAAAGTCAATGCTGGTGCATTCTTTAACCTTCAGGACACCAACGTTGGGGCTTTCTTCAACACGCAGGAACCCATTGCTGGAGTGTTTTTTAACCCACAGGAAACTAATGCTGAGGAATTTTTTAACTTGCAGTAAACCAATGCTGGAACAGTCATTAACCACACAGGAAACCAGTGCCAGGCCGCTCTTTAACTCACAGAAAACCAATACTGAGAATTTTTAAGGCAGCAGGAAACCAATATTGAGGTGTTCTTTAACCCGAAGCTAGGATGTTCTTTAGGCAAATTCTTTAAGCCTTCTTTTTAATGACCACTGACATTGGTCCACTTCTGCTGCCCACTAACCACTAACACTGGGGAATGTGTGGCCTCACTGAACACCAATACCAGGGCTTTGATCCTTTTATGGACACCTACATTGGGTAGTTTTTCTTCCACAGTGACCAATGCAAGAGCACTCCTTAATCTAAGTGTTATGTGTGTCTGTGAGGCTTACAGAGTTATGTGAAACCTTCTGTGTATAGCAACCCCCCCCCCCACCCAATACTCACCTGAGCCCCATTGCAATCCAGTGATGTGCATGAGAGCTTTGGCTCTCTGGGGACTTTCCCTCCTCATTGGCTGAGATAGCAGTGGGAGCCATTGGCTCCTGCTGCTATTAATCAATTTATGGGAGTCCCCAGGCAGGAGGCCTGGCAGTGTGGGAGATCAGCCTATAAATATGAGCGAGCCTGACCAGCAAGGGGAGTTGGGGGGAAGATGCAGTGAGGAAATCCTGTTGGTGTGGAGCCTGGGAAGGGGCCCTGGAGAAGGGGGGTCTACGTACAGCCTGGGAGCTCGAAAGTGGGAACTCCACAGTCTGCCAGGGAAGGACAGCCTGTCAGCGGGTGAAGAAGCCAGCCCAGCATAAGGCCTGAAAGCAGCTTCACCTTTTAAAGCTACAGGAACAGGAAAATGTGAGTACCTCTACACCCCCTGGGCCTACAAAGGAGAGGGCACTCAGGTGCCATACCCAACTAGTTCTCCCTTGGACAGCATTCTTATGTGTCTTGGAATCCCTTGCCCTGGGATATTCTTCATGACAACCAGGTGAATGAGATTTTCATCTGGGGTCTGAAGAGGATTCATTTAAGGGGACTGAGTACTCCTAGTAAGGACTGTGTGCCAATCGATTAAGAAGCAAGAGCCACTCCAGAGGGAGTAGAAAGTCCAGGATTACATTTTTCTGCTTTTTGTATATAGGACATTTGTCCTCCAAGTTGTTTCAGTTCCATTGGGCATCCCATATACCCATAGACCCCATCCAAGTTGTTAATCCCTAAAAAAACAACAAAAAACAAGCTCATGGACTGTTTACTGACTTTGGATGCAAGAATGGAAAATGAGTGTTGTCTAGCTGTGCAGGAAAATAGGGGGACCCAAAATCAGCAGCCTTCAAAAAGGTAGCACTACAGTGGTGTTTAAAAAGCAGAACAAATATGTATGAAAAATGTATCCCTTTAAATCTTATGGAATGTTTCACACCAATGGACTGTGGGTGCAGTGCATTTTTAAAAGTCCTGCATGCTGCATTTTTAGTGCATGTTTAAAAAGCACACCAAAATCGTACCTCCCCAGTGAAATAAATCAAAATGGCCTTGAAAATGCACTGTACTTGCATTTTTGGTGTGCTTTTTTGAGTCACGTCCATGTTTCACAGGTGCATGATTGGAGTCATGAAGCCAGATATTGTATCAAAAACGTGCCAAAACTGCATCAAAAATGCACGTGTTTTTACTGCTTTCATTCAATTGTCACAAACGTGCACAACACACAGTGAAGGACGCAGACTCCATTTTGTTAAGAGTATCCATTTTCTCCCCTCACTCCCTCCCCCTCCCTCTCCGAGAGGAGACATTTGGCAAGCGTGTGTGTGTGTGCTGGTTGTGGGTCACTGGCAGGCCAAGGCATCTCTGAGCTAGGTGCCTAGCTGTCTCGGAAAGCTGTACCATTTCACACCTCGGAAGAGATAAGGCAAGCTTTCTCCTGAGTTGAGAGAAATTCCACCCTAATAAAACCTAACTCAGCGTAGGTGACAGAATCAGATAACCTCGGTTAAAACCATTTTTCCCCTATGTCTCATATCTTGGAATATAAGAGACTTACATAAAAAGCGAACATATCGTCAGATGGACAATGAGCATGTGAACAGTTTGACTCGACTTGTCTCAGACACACAGGAAAGCAGAAAAATAGATCTCGTGAACCGTTTAGTTTGCACTTTCATAATTCATATCTAATCAATCCTCAGACTTGCCTGCATAATAATCTACCCGCGGGTCGAATGTCACTTGTGCAGATGAAAAGTTATGGGCCAAATATGAGTTATGGGAGATTTTTGCTCTAATTGAGGCATCCACCCATCTCTCCATGCCCTAAGCGGAGCTTGGTCCTTGACTGCAGAGCCACCCCCTACTGGGGACTACAAAACAGGCTGTCAGGCCTAAGATTAAGAAAGTTGAAGATGTCTCCCATTTTAACATCAATACCACCTGGGGGAGACCCGTGCCCCTTCTGCTCAGAAACTTGATCTGCTTACATCCAAGGCTTAATGGCAAGTACCTTAACCCTTTAACCTCTCTCTATTATCTCTTTACTGTGCTGTTATGCTCTGTATATATATATATATATATATATATATATATATATATATATCTATATATATATATAGTTTAGTTACATCCTTTTTCTGGAAATATTTTTATTACACCCGTTTGACCTTTTAGTAATAAATCTTTCTTTCTGAAAGTGTTGAACTGTTTCTATACATCTGTATTGCAATTTACAAATCCCTGCCTCTAAAGAGAATGCTACTGTTTGCTTAACCCTC